AAATCAATAAGAATAGGTCCACACCCAGTCACCTAATAGTCAAATTTACAAGTCTTAGTGACAAAGAGAAAATCCTGAAAGCAGCCCGGGAAAAGAAGTCTGTAACATACAATGGTAAAAATATTAGATTGGCAGCAGACTTATCCACAGAGACCTGGCAGGCTAGAAAGAGCTGGCATGATATATTCAGAGCACTAAACGAGGAAAACATGCAGCCAAGAATACTATATCCAGCTAGGCTATCATTGAAAATAGAAGGAGAGATTAAAAGCTTCCAGGACAAACAAAAACTGAAAGAATTTGCAAACACCAAACCAGCTCTACAGGAAATATTGAAAGGGGTCCTCTGAGCAAAGAGAGAGCCTAAAAGTAGTAGATCAGAAAGGAACAGAATCAATATACAATAACAGTCACCTTACAGGCAATACAATGGCACTAAATTCATATCTCTCAATAGTTACCGTGAATGTTAATGGGCTAAATGCTCCAATCAAAAGACACAGGGTATCAGAATGGATAAAAAAACAAAACCCATCTATATGTTGCCTACAAGAAACTCATTTTAAACCCAAAGACACCTCCAGATTTAAAGTGAGGGGGTGGAAAAGAATTTACCATGCTAATGGACATCAGAAGAAAGCAGGAGTGGCAATCCTTATATCAGATCAATTAGATTTTAAGCCAAAGACTATAATAAGAGATGCGGAAGGACACTATATCATACTCAAAGGATCTGTCCAACAAGAAGATCTAACAATTGTCAATATCTATGCCCCTAACATGGGAGCAGCCAACTATATAAACCAATTAATAACAAAATCAAAGAAACACATCAAGAATAATACAATCATAGTAGGGGACTTGAACACTCCCCTCACTGAAATGGACAGATCATGCAAGCAAAAGATCAACAAGGAAAGAAAGGCCTTAAATGACACACTGGACCAGATGGACATCACAGATCTATTCAGAACATTTCATCCCAAAGCAACAGAATACACATTCTTCTCTAGTGCACATGGAACATTCTCCAGAATAGATCACATCCTGGGTCCTAAATCAGGTCTCAACTGGTATCAAAAGATTGGGATCATACCCTGCATATTTTCAGACCACAATGCTCCAAAGCTAGAACTCAATCACAAGAGGAAATTTGGAAAGAACCTAAATACATGGAGGCTAAAGAGCATCCTACTAAGAATGAATGAGTCAACCAGGAAATTAAAGAAGAATTGAAAAAATTCATGGAAACAAATGAAAATGAAAACAACTGTTCAAAATCATTGGGACACAGCAAAAAGGTCCTGAGAGAAAAGTATATAGAGATACAAGCCTTTCTCAAGAAACAAGAAAGGTCTCAAATGCACAACATAACCCTACACCTAAAGGAGTTGGAGAAAGAACAGCAAATAAAGCCTAAACCCAGCAGGAGAAGAAAAATAATAATCAGAGCAGAAATCAATGAAATAGAAAACAAAAGAACAGCAGAACAAATCAATGAAAGTAGGAGCTAGATTTTTGAAAGAATTAATAAAATTGATAAGCCCCTGGCCAGACTTATTAAAAAGAAAAGAGAAAGGACACAAATTAATAAAATCATGAATGAAAGAGGAGTGATTACAATCAACATCAAAGAAATAACAAACAAATACAGGAATAAATTATAAGCAACTATACGCCAGCAAATTTGACAATCTGGAAGAAATGGATGCATTGCTGGAGACATATAAACTACCAAAACTGAACCAGGAAAACAAACAAACAAACCTGAACAGACCCATAACCAGTAAGGAGATTGAAGCATTCATCAAAAATCTCCCAACAAACAAGAGCCAGGGCCAGATGGCTTCCCAGGGATATTGTACCAAACATTTAAAGAATTAATACCTATTCTCCTGAAACTCTTCCAAAAAATAGAAATGGAAGGAAAACTTGCAAACTCATTTTATGAGGCCAGCATTACCTTGATCCCAAAACTAGACAAAGACCTCATCAAAAGGGAGAATTTCAGTTACAATATCCTTGATGAACACAGATGCAAAAATTCCCACCAAAATACTAAGCCAATAGGATTCAACAGTACATTAAAAGGATAATTCACCACGACCAAGTGGGATTTATTCCTGGGCTGCAACTTTGGTTCAACATCTGCAAATCAATCACTGTGATACAATACACTAATAAAAGAAAGAACAAGAACCATATGATACTCTCAATAGATGCTGAAAAAGCGTCTGACAAAGGACAGTATCGTCTCTTGATTAAAACTCTTCAAAGTGTAAGGATAGAGGGTACATACCTCAATATCATCAAAGCCATCTATGAAAAACCCACAGTGAATATCATTCTCAATGGGGGAAAAACTGAGAGCTTTTTCCCTAAGGTCAGGAATATGGCAGTGATGTCCATTATAACCACTGCTATTCAACATAGTACTAGAAGTTCTAGCCCTGGCAATCAGACAACAGCAACAACAAAAATTAAAAGGCATCCAAATCAACAAAGAACAAGTCCAACTCTCACTCTTTGCAGATGATATGATACTTTATGTGGAAAACTCAAAAGACTCTACTCCAAAACTGCTAGAACTCCTTCAGGAATTCAGTAAATTATCAGGATATAAAATCAATGCACATAAATCAGGTGCATATGTATACAACAACAGCAAGATAGAAGAAACAGAAATTAAAGAGCCAGTCCCATTTACAATTTAACTCAAAACCATAAGATACCTAGGAATAAACCTAACCAAAGAGGCAAAGAATCTGTACTCAGAAAACTAGAGAATATTCATGAAAGAAATTGAGGAAGACACAAAGAAATGGAAAAACATTCCATGCTCATGGATTTGAAGAACAAATATTGTGAAAATGTCTATGCTACCTAAAGAAATCTACACATCTAAGGAAATCCCTATCAAAATACTATCCATTTTTTTCAAAGAAATGGAACAAATAATCCTAAAATTTATATGGAACCAGAAAAGATCCCAAGCAGTTAGAGGAATGTTGAAAAAGAAAGCCAAAGTTGGTGACATCACAATTTCAGACTTCAAGTTTTATTACAAAGCTGTAATTATTAAGACAGTATGGTACTGGCACAAAAACAGACACATAGATCAATGGAAGATAATAGAGATCTCAGAAATAGACCCTGAACTCTATAGCCAACTAATCTTTGATAAAGCAGGAAAGAATGTCCAATGGAAAAAAGACAGTCTCTTCAACAAATGGTGTTGGGAAAATTGGACAGCCACATGCAGAAAAAATGAAACTAGACCATTTCCTTAAACCACACACAAAAATAGACTCAAAATAGATGAAGACCTCAATGTGAGACAGGAATCCATCAAAATCATTGAGGAGAACACAGGCAGCAACCTCATCGACCTCATGTGCAGCAACTTCTTCCTAGAAACTTCACCAAAGGCAAGGGAAGCAAGGGCAAAAATGAACTATCAGGAGTTTATCAAGATCAAAAGCTTTTGCACAGCAAATGAAACAGTCAACAAAACCAAAAGACATCTGACAGAATGGGAAAAGATATTTGTAAATTACATATCAGACAAAGGGTTAGTATACAAAATTTATAAAGAACTTGTCAAATCCAACACCCAAAGAACAAGTAATCCAATCAAGAAATGGGCAGAAGACATGAACAGATATTTCTACAAAGAAGGCATCCAGATGGCCAACAGATACATGAAGAAGTACTCCACATTACTCAGCATCAGGGAAATAGAATTCAAAACTGCAATGAGATACCACCTCACACCAGTCTGAATGGCTAAAATTAACAAGTCGGGAAACAGCAGATGTTGGAGAGGATGTGGAGAAAGGGGAACCCTCCTACACTGTTGGTGGGATGCAAGCTGGTGCAGCCACTCTGGAAAACAGTATGCAGGTTCCTTAAAAGGTTTAAAATAGAGCTATCCTATAACCCTACAATTGGACCACTGGGTATTTACCCTAAAGATACAAATGTAGTGATCTGAAGGGGCACATGCACCTGAATGTTTATAGCAGCAATGTCCACAATAGCCAAACTATGGAAAGAACCTAGATGTCCATCAACAAATGAATAAAGAAGTGGTATATATATATACATACAATAGACTACTATGCAGCCATCAACCTACCCCCACCCCGAAATCTCGCCATTTGCAGTGTTATGGATGGAACTAGAGGGTATTATGTTGCATGAAATAAGTCAATCAGAGAAAGTCAATTATTATATGATCTCTCTGATATGAGGAATTTGAGAGGCAGGGCAGGGGGCTTGGGGGATAGGGAAGGGAAAAATGAAACAAGATGGGATTGGCAGGGAGAGAAATCATAAGAGACTCTTAATCTCAAAAAAACCTGAGGGTTGCTGGGATAGGGTGGTTGGGTTATGGACATTGGGGAAAGTATGTGCTATGGTGAGTGCTGTGAAATGTGTAAGCCTGAGGATTCACAGACCTGTAGTCCTGGGGCAAATAATATATTATATGTTAATAGAAATAATTTTAAAATAATTTTAAAAACACTGTGCGTGTGTGTGTGTGTGTATGTGTGTGTGTGTTTGTATGTGTGTGTTTATACTTGATATTGGATTTCCTTTTGTCACTTTTCATGTTGTAGTATGACAGTTATGTACCCAATTAAATTCTAATTTCTCTTTATGATTTGTTTGAATTTTTACGTGTGCTAGATAGGCATCTTGTAGAAAAATCTTACCTTTCATCATTTTTATATATTTATCTACTATACAGATTACTAACATAGGAATGGCACAGTTATTCTGTTAGGTGTTCTTGAAGTGGAATTATTTCAACTATTTTAAAGATGGAAAAAAGCATTTTCTCCCATTTTCTCTGAAATGGAGAGTCTCAGGCAGCCCCAGAAGTTTTGGAAGAAGCTTTGAGGAAGTTAGAGGGAAAGATGAATAGAAGTAGGCACTGGAGTGATTGAATCTAATTTCTTGCAAAGCATTTTGGTTGGCCAGGTTTTAATGAGGTGATTTTAAGAAGTGATTTATTCATCTCTCTGATTATCATTACATCATCCACATAATATTTAATACAAATTCTGATTTGTGAATATAAATGAGTTACATAATACTTGACAAAATAAACTGAGAATTGATTGATGATGAAAAATTCCGAGTGAATGTACATATTTTAATTTTAAGACTGCATCTTAACCATTGTTTTATCCACATTCAGGATATGTCACTTTCCCATCCTGACAGGTGGCTCAGAATGTATGATCTGGTGTCTTTCTACGATATCCATGGAGACATTCAAATTCAATAACATCCCCTGTTCTGGAATAAATTTTTGTCTCATGAGACCATCGTAATCGTATATTATGTTTTCTCAAGATGTCTGCTGATACTGTACAGGCCTCTGAAGATTGAAAAAAGAAAGAACAGAAAACACTGAGTAGTAAACAAATATTTTCCTCAGATTTTCAGACTTTCATGTGGAATCTTCTACACTAGTTCAGGGCTTCGTTTTCAAAACCTTTTCCAGAATAATCCCTCAGAAATCCATCATGTCGATTTAAATCATTTTAAATAATTAATGATATAAAATGAGGTACTATGTTATAGCTATGAAAATTAAATGTTACAATCGAAGATTCATAATGTCAGTTTTTAAAAATTTTATTTATTTATTTGAGAGAGAGAAAATGAGAGAGGGAGCATGAGAGGGGAGAGGGTCAGAGGGAGAAGCAGACTTCCCATGGAGCTGGGAGCAGGATACAGGACTCAATCCCAGCACTCTGGGATCATGACCTAGCTGAAGGCAGTTGCTTAACCAACTGAGTCACCCAGGTGCCCTCATAATGTCAATTTTAATATGAATAAATCCAGAGTCCTTTTATTAAAGATCTTTTGTTCCTTGAACAAGAGTTTTCCTTTCCAACTTTACTTCTTTACACATTAATATTTGGTAGTCAAGCTTTCAATAAATGGTTGTTGTTAATCAGGGAAGATTCTAATAATAACAGTAAAGCATCTTACTGCATTATACTGATTTTCCCAGGATCCCCAAGAATACTGAAATATTTACCTAAGCATTTTGGTGGTGGTGACCACTGTCCATTTCTGCATGTTATGGTCCTATGTCCCTGAAGAACATAGAAGGACTGGCATATGTACTCTACTGATGATCCTGGAGCATATGATAATAACGTGAATGAGGTAATGTCTCCATTGTCAATACGTGGAGGAGGCCCACATTTTCCTTCAGAATCTAAAAAAATATATATTTGTTTGATTTATTGAAAGACCAAAGAAAAACATGTTAAAATAAAGCATATAAATATATAGCACAATATGCAATATCAAGACTTGTGATTTCTGCTGACAGAAATGATTCATTGAAAAAATTTTATTTTATTTTTTAAAGATTTTTATGTATTTATTGAGAGAGAGAGAGAGAGAGAGAGAGAGACAGAGAGTCAGGGAGAGAGAGAGAGAGCATAAGCCAAGGGAGAGGCAGAGGGAGAAGCAGAGTCCCTGCTGGGGAGGGAGCCTGACATGGGGCTCCATCTCAGGATGCTGGGATCATGACCTGAGTTAAAGGCAGGTGCTTAAACAACTAAGCCACACACATGCCCCCATTGAAGAAATTTTAATCACTTAAACTGAGAATCACACTTTTAAGCCTTTCCTTTTATCCCCCATGAAAGCATACATAAAGCAATAACAAAAGCTAAATAAATTTGAATATAGAATATAAATGACTGACTTTGAAAATAGATTGAAAGCAAAACCAAAACAACTTTCAAAAATATGGACTGAAAATTTCCCAAGTTGGGCACAGGGTATAAGCATTCATATTGAAAAAGTGAAACAGGACAAACCCAAAGAAATTCATGCCAACATAACACCATAATCAAACTGAGGAAAAGTAAAGGGAAAGGAAAATTCTCAAAAGCAGCTAAGTAGAAATTATGCAAAACCTATAATGTAAAAAGGATTCAAACATCAGTGGGCTTCTCATCTGTGACCATCAAGCCAGAAGAAGTGACAACATTTTTTAAGTGCTAGAAGACAAGAACTGTCAACCTCAAATGCTATATCCTGTGTTACTATCCTTTGGGGTTTAAGGGAGAGCAGGAGATATTCCGAGACTAAGGAAAACAGCATTTAACTCCAGCAGATCTGTCTTTAAAGAATTGGTAAATGAATTCTTCAAATATCAGGGAAAAGATAACAGAGCAAGGACTGAGACTTCATGAAGGAAGAAAAAACAAGGGACTGAAAAAACAGGGGTAAATAAAATGAACTCTCTTTTTCCTGAGGAGTTTGTTAGGTTTGGTGTTTGTGCAAATTATATCATTTGATACGGTGCTCCATATATGTAGAAGAAATACTTCAGACATTTATGTTTGAATGGTGGGGAACGTATGGGCACCTAGGAGGTTCAAAATCGGTTAAGTGTCCACTCTTGACTTTAGCTCAGGTCATGGTTTCAGGGTTGTGAGATTGAGCACTGTGTCAGGCTCTGAGCTGGGTGTTGAGTCTACTTAAGATTTTCTCTCTTGTTCTCCCACTGCCACTCCACTCCCTCTCTCTGTCTCTCTTTCTCTCAATAAATAAACAATAAATAAAATAAAATAAGATAAAATGTGGGGAGAGTAAATGGACCTAAGTGGAAGTAAGGTTTCCTCATTTCACTTGAAGTAGCAAAATGTCAAAACCAGGGGTAGGAGTGACAAGATATGTATGTGCATCTTAATACCTTGAGCAACCATGGATAAAGTTATTAAAAGAGATATGCTCCAACATGTGTTGGAGGGGATGTGGAGAAAGGGGAACCCTCTTACACTGTTGGTGGGAATGCAAGTTGGTGCAGCCTCTTTGGAGAACAGTGTGGAGATCCCTCAAGAAATTAAAAATAGAACTTCCCTATGACCCTGCAATTGCACTACTGGGTATTTACCCCAAAGATACAGATGTAGGGAAAAGAAGGGCCATCTGTACCCCAATGTTTATAGCAGCAATGGCCACAGTCACCAAACTGTGGAAAGAACCAAGATGCCCTTCAACGGATGAATGGATAAGGAAGAAGTGGTCCATATACACTATGGAGTATTATGCCTCCATCAGAAAGGATGAATACCCAACTTTTGTAGCAACATGGACAGGACTGGAAGAGATTATGCTGAGTGAAATAAGTCAAGCAGAGAGAGTCAATTATCATATGGTTTCACTTATTTGTGGAGCATAACACATAGCATGGAGGACATGGGGAGTTAGGAGAAGGGAGTTGGGGGAAATTGGAAGGGGAGGTGAACAATGAGAGACTATGGACTCTGAAAAACAAGCTGAAGGGTTTGAAGAGGTGGGGGGGTGGGAGGTTGGCGGAACCAGGTGGTGGGTATTAGAGAGGGCACGGACTGCACGGAACACTGGGTGTGGTACAAAAACAAGGAATAATGTTATGCTGAAAATAAAAAAAAAAAAAGAGATATGCTCCAAAACAAAAAAGACATATCAAAATAAAATTATTTTAAAATGTTCCAAAACCTAGAGATGGCAAGAAAGAAAAAAAGAAAGAAAGAGGAGTGAGAAACAGAGGAAAGAAATGCAAGGAATATAACAAAATGCCTGACATAACCCCTAAGCTATCAATACTTACTTAAAGTGTAAATGGTTTAAATTCTTCAGTTAAAAGACTGAAAGTGGCAGAGTGGACACATAAACAAGAGCCGACTATATGGCAACTAAAAGAAACTAACTTCAACATGAAAACATATGTGGGCTCAAAGTAAAAGACTGGAAAATACATATTCCAGGCAAAAGTTGATTTGAAAAAGAAGTGGCTGTATCTCCAATATTGGCTCCTCTTATTTCCACATATCCTGGTGGTGCATAAGAAAGCCATAAAAAAAAAAGTGAAACAATGATTCCATGTTTCATTAACTATGAAATTTCATTTTATGTACTGGTTGCCATATTTGGCAGTATAATTTGAAAATAAATGACAACACAGGAGCTACAATCATAACACAGAGAAGGTGCACAAATGCTTCCTAAAACCACCACTCTGATGTGTGTCCAACTGGCAACCTGAGCAAGAGCTTGAAACCAAAAAATGTCAATATAAAATCAGCTGTAGCAGCTTCCTTTTAGATACGTCTCTTGAGGCAAGAGAAACAAAGGCATAAATAAACTATTGGGACTACATCAAAATAAAAAGCTTCTGCACAGTGAAGGAAATAATAAAACTAGAAGGTAGCCTACAGAACAGGAAAAGATATTTGCAAATGACATATCTGATAAAGGGTTAGTATCCAAAATATGGAAAGAACTTATAAAACTCAGCACCCAAAAAATGAATAATCCAATTAAAAATGGGAAGAAGTCATGAACAGAAATTCTTCCAAGAAGACTACAGATGGCCAACATACATGAAAAGATGCCCAATATCACTCATCATTAGGGAAATACAAATCAAAACCACAATGAGATACCACCTCACACTTGTGAAAGTGACTAAAATAATTTAAAAAAAAAAAAAACAGGAGAAACAACAGGTGCTGGTAAGTATGTGGAGAGAGGGAAACCCTCTTGCACCACTGGTGGGAATGCAAACTGGTGCAGCCACTCTGGAGAACAGTATGGAGACTCCTCAAAATATTAAAAGTGGAGCTACCTTATGAACCAGCAATTGAACCACTAGATTTTTACCCAAAATATACAAAAAGACTAATTCAAAGGGATACTTGCACCCTGATATTTATAGCAGCATTATTTACAATAGCCAAGATATGGAAGCAGCCCAAATGTCCACTGATAGATGAATGGATAAAGAAAAGGCAGTATATAAATTACTCAGCCTTAAAAACAAATGAAATCTTGTCAGTTGCAATGACATGGATGGAGCTAGAGACTATAATGCTAAGTAAAATCACTCAGACAAAGACAAATACCATATGATTTCACTCACATGTGGAATTAAAAAAAAATGAGCAAAGGGGAAAAAGGAGAGAGGCAAATGAGAAAACAGACCCTTAATTATAGAGAACAAACTGATGGTTACCGGAGAAGTGGGTGAGAGGGTGGGTGAAATAGGTGAAGGGGATTAAGGAGAGCCCTTGAGTGAACACTAGTTGTTGTATGGAATTGTTTAATTACTATATTGCACACCTGAAACTAAAATTACATGGTACGTTGATTAACTGGAATTTATATGAAAACTTAAAAAAAAACTTAAAAAAATTCATGGAAACAAATGACAAAGAAAAAAACAACTGTTCAAAGTCTTTGGGATGCAGGAAAGACGGTCCTAAAAGAAAGCATAATGCAATATAAGCCTTTGTCAAGAAACAAAAAAGGTCTCAAAGACACAATTTAACCCTACACCTGAAGGAGCTGGATAAAGAAAACAAAGAAAGCCTAAACCCAGCAGTAGAAGAGAAATAAAGATCAGAGCAGAAATCAATGAAATAGAAACTAAAAGAACAGTAGAACAGGTCAAGGAAACTAGTAGCTGGTTTTTTGAAGGAATTAAGAAGATTGACAAACCCTTGACAGATTTATCAAAAAGAAAAGAAAGGATCAAAAATAAATAAAATCATGAATGAAAGAGGAGAGATCACACCCAACACCAAAAAAATACAAACAATTATAAGAACATATTACGAGAAACTATATGCCAACAAATTAGACAATCTGGAAGAAATGGATATATTCCTAGAGATGTATGAACTACCAAAACTGAACCAGGAAGAAATAGAAAACGTTGAACAGACCCATAACCAGCAAGGAAATGGAAGCATTAATCAAAAATGTCTCAACAAAGAAGGATCCAGGGCCATTTAGCTTCCCAGGGGAATTCTACCAAACAGCTTCAGTTTATAAAACTCTCTCACATCTTGAGTAGAATTTGCTCACCCTGATATTTCCCAAACTGTTTTGTTGTCAGAGTTTTGCACATCCTGTTCCCTTGGCATGGAGCAATCTAAATCTACTCAAATTTCCACAGATTCAAATTCTACTCTTACTCCTAGAAAATAGTGATTTGCAAACATGAAAGAGATTCATATAATAGTCCACAGAACTTGTCAAAGTCAGAAAATAAAGAGCTTTTCGAACCTGAAGAAATTAAAACTCAAGGGGCACCTGGGTAGCTCAGTGGGTTAAGCCTCTGCCTTCGGCTCAGGTCATGATCTCAGGGTCCTAGTATTGAGTCCCTATTGGCTTCTCTGCTCAGCAGGGAACATGCTCCACTCCCCCCACCCCGCCTCTATGCCTACTTGTGATCTCTCTCTGTCAAATAAATAAACAAAATCTTTAAAAAAAAAAAAAAAAGAAGGAAATTAACACTCAAGGTAGAAGGTGTAAAAGCAGAAACTCAGGAGCAAAATAACTGAGGAAATTGTTAAAAACTATAATTTTGGTTTTCTTACACTATACACTAAAAGAACTCCATTTAAAATAATATGAAAGACTGCATTTGGATTAAGAAACATAATTATAATTTATTTACAAATCTATCATGTATATGGCCCCTAGGAAATATTAATATACTGTCTTAAAGATAAATTATTGTCTTTGGGCTGTAAAAATCTTAAAAATGACTTTAATGCAAATTTGTTCAAAATGGAACATTTGAAATACATTTTGTTAATTTTGTCAATCCTGAAAAAAAGAATACCTGGAAAAAAAGCACTTACCATAACATTCTGGTTTATAAGACCAACCATCATTACCACACACTATGGAACCTGTGTGCCCATCTCTGCTTTCAAATCCATCATGGCACTCATAGTCTAATGTGTCATTGACTTTAAACCATGTGCTATTACTTTTGATTGTGGCGTTCTCCAATACTGGCATGTCACAAGATTCTAAAGCATAATAGAATTGAAGATTTCATTTCTAATATTTAGTGGACAATGTAACTAAGTCTTATCCCAAGATGGTAAAAACAGCTTTCTCAATTAGTGTGTGCTAGTGTATTAAGTATCATATTAAAAGAATCTAAGAATAACAGTGATAAATCATTGTCCTGAAAAAAATTACTCAAAGTGAATAAGTATTTTTCTACACAGCATTTTTCTTAGCACTTAAACACTCTGGAAAACTTATTCCTTTTTTTTTTTTTTTTTTGGGATTTCCAGATTTTTATTTCTCGAACTGTACACCAGGTATTAAAGTACAATACAAAACAATGCCTAAAATAATCAGTTTTTATGTACAAATATTAAGATCAAAGTAACAACAGCAACTTCCTCTGGAACATCTGATACAAAAACTTGTGATTGTCACTAATGAATCTCATACTCAGGTATGTATGTAATCTCATATTAAGGGTACTTATTTCAAAGTGGGCAATTGGAATTACCGGTCACTTAGGAGGAATTTTATTACCTACCATATTTAACACTAGAACTAATAGTTTCCTCCTTTTAGTGAAAAGATTAAGAACTTTTTTAAAAACACGGTAATGTCAGTGTTTTTATAAATTTTTTTAGTTTCCATTTGCAAACGATGTGCTTTGAAACTCTGGGCAAACAATCTCCTTGGTGATCAGGTTTACTCATTAATTTACATTTAAAGTTGAAATATTCACCAAAGACTTTGATTAAATTAAATATCACTGTGCTCTATTAGACCTCACATTCTCAAATATTTGAATGGAGAGATAACTATTGTTTATAATTTGTTAAAAGGAAGGAAAGTGTTAAAAGTCTCAATTTTGCCAACACAATACTAGAATGAAGTTAATAAAGGTTTAAGTAATTCACCATGAATGTTGTACTGTGTCACGTAGCTAGGTACTTTAAAACCTTAAAAAAGAAAGCAAAACTATACTAGCAAAAAAAGAGAGTGAGAGAGATTTCCTCTTCCATAATTAGAATGTTTAAATGGTTAACTGCATACAATTTCGTATAAAATGAGTTTGATATGGGGAAAGTTTTATCATTTTTTTCTATGGCTAGTGCTCATAGTAAGCATGGAAATTAAAAAAAAAATAAGGACATGAAAGCAGTCAAAATGGATATTTAAATATCCACTTTATTTAAAGTGAATATGCTAAATATCAGTTCAAAGTATCATTGTGTAGCTTTGAAGTATAAGATAAACTTGAGAAAATTGTTCTTAGAAAATCTTCAGGGGCACCTGGGTGGCTCAGTGTGTTAAGCCTCTGCCTTTGGCTCAGGTCCTGGGATTGGGCCCCAAGTTGGGCTCTCTGTGCAGTAGGGAGCCTGCTTCTCCCCTTTCTCTGCCTGCCTCTCTGCCTACTTGTGATCTTTCTCTGTCAAATAAATAAAATCTTTTTTTTTTTTAAAGAAAATCTTCATAAATATCTAGGGACAGGGAAGTCTTTCAACACAGCTGCATTTGGTACTATATAGAAGCATTTCCGTCTCCACTGCATAGATGTTTATGAAGATTTCCTAAGGGAGAGGATATTTTAGAAGTGGACCTACCCTAGATTATCAAACATGTAAGTTCTGTAGGTCAACTTAAATTATGCAGTGTGGACCCAGTTCTTCATTTAAAAGCATAACTTTTGTGTCTAGGAACAAAGACTCTGACATAAGAGTTTAATCACCTAAAAACAGGTACAATTGGCACAAAGATGTCAGCCAAAATTAAATGAGTTTGAAGAAGAATAAACACGTCTCCCTATGTAGTTTCCAAATCACAGGATGTCTTATTTTAATTATTAATTAATTAGTTAATTCACAGGATGTTTTAAAGTGGAAGAAAACTTGAACTGAAACATAGACTGATATTCTACCCTATAAGTGATTAATCGTAATAGTAAAAAAAAATTACATATTTTTTCATTTATCTTTTCAAATGGGAACTACGTCAACCCTTGCCCACAGAGAAGAATTAAGTTAAAGGAAACTTTTGCATAACAATCATCAGGATAATGAAAATGAACATAAAATTACTCACTAATACATGTGGGTTGAGGTGACCATCCACTTTCCAGACATGTAATTGATCCTGAAGTTTTACCACCTGGTGTTACATATCCTGTTTTACACTTATATTTTGTTTCTTTATTCAAGGGAATTGCAAATTCAGATTCAGAAAAAAATCCATTTTCAATTGTTATCTCTGATTTTAAACATCTTTCTGAAAGGGAGAAAGTATAAGGAAAAGATAAGCATTTAAATAAACGTTTTTATGGACTCAAATAATATAACAATAAAAAGATAAGGAGTCATTTATAAATGAAAATCCAGAAAATCCGAATCACCAAAATTCTTGTGACAGAGAAAATAAGCTATGAGTTTCCATAGGTATTAAATCAGGATTGTTCATTAAAAATTTGGGGGGGGGATAAAGAAGCAAAATTTAGAATACTCAGAATCCCTTCTAGGAAATTATTAGAAATTTGTTTGTCTAATGGATCTGGAATCCTACAGCATGCCAGAATTATACTGGCAATAGATCCTTTCCAGACACTTCTTTTAAATATTGTGCACTCAGGATCTCTTTAGCAGCCCCAGCATTCGGTTAACTAATTGGGGTATCTCAGATCAGGTGATGATCTCAGAGAATCTGCCACCATAACTACTACAACTCTGATAATTTGAAATGTTTGTCACCATGACTGGGTGCTTAAAACCATACGGATACATGGAGTTTGATGAATATGACATATTTATTTATCTTCTTAGACCAAAATGATGATCCTCAAATTAAGTATAACTTCACTTGAAAAAATAAAGACTTCTGTCAGTTATCTGGTCTCTTCACAAATTCATCTTTATTTATTGTCTCGTCCATGAATGAAGAAATCAAAGGAGAAAACATGAAGTATGTATATTTTCATGGTTTTATTTTATTTCACAATTTTATCTCATAATTTAATTCCTTCACTTGGAGCACCTAGTAGATAGGACATGGGATACATGGAATATTAAACACTATATGGAATTAAAAGTATATAATCTTAAAAAAAAAAAGACATTAAAGCAGCACCTGGGTTGCTCAGTTAGTTGAGCATCTGACTCTCATGGTCAGATCAGGTCTTGATCTCAGGGCTGTGAACTCAAGCCTCATGTTGGGCTCCATGCTGGGCATAGAGCCTACTGAATGAATGAATGAATTAATTAAAAAATAAATAATAAAAGAATAGACATTAAGCCCTTTGAATGGAATGATAAAAAAATTTAAATAAAATTTTGTGAGATGATACTAAAGCAGTGCTGAGAGGGAAATTTTACCATTATATAGCTATGGTAGAAAAGAGTAGACTGCATATTGACTCATTGTTTCTGCTTTAAGAAATTAGAAAATAAAAGCCAAGATAACCCAACATGCATATAAATTTGAAAATACAGCCTGTTGTTAGGGAGATGGTGGAATAGGATGTTTTTTATTCTCCATTTGATTCATTTCTGCTCTAATCTTTATTATTGCTTCGCTTCTAACTTTGGGCTTGGTTTGTTTTTATAGTTCCTTGAGGCATAAATTTAGGTTGTTTATATATGAACTTCTATTTTAATGTAGGCATTTGTCACTAAAAATTTCCCTCTTCCCACTGCTTTTGCAGCATCTCTGAATTTTGTTATATTGTGTTTTTGTTTTCATTTGTCTCAAGAGATTAAAAAAAAATTCTCTTGCACTTTCTTCTATGATCACATTGTTTGAGAGTGTGCTGTTTTCTTTCCATGTATCTGCGAGTTTCTCCCTTCTTTTTGCTGTTACTGATTTCTAGTTTTCCTCTTTTATGGTTGGAAAAGATACTGCATAGAATCTTTCACGTGCAGTTGAGGAGAATGTACTCTTCCATTGTTGGGTGGAAAATTCCACATATATCTATTAGGTCCATTTTGTTTGTATTGTTGTTCAAATCTAGGGCTCCTTTCTTGAATTTCTGTCTGGGTGTGCTATCCATTATTCAAAATGGGGTATTGAAATCTCCTAATTTTATTGTGTTGCTATCAACTTCTCCTCTTTAGATCTGTCAATATTTGCTTTATATGTTTAGGAGTTCCAATGTCGGATCCACATATGTTGAGAATTGCTATATCTTCCTTTTGAATTGACTCCTTATTATTACACAATGACCTTCTTTATTATTATATAATGACCTTCTGTGTCAGAGAGACAGTTTGAGACATAAAGTTAATTTTTAATTTTACTGATAGAAGTATAGACACTCCAACATTCTTTGGTTGCCATTCACATGAAATATGTTTAAATTTCTTCACTTTTAGCCTATTGTGTCTTTAAATCTAAAGTGAGTTCTTGTTTTTTACCTGTTCAGGTGCTGTATTCTTTTTAATAGGTAAGTTTAATCCATTTACATTTAAAGGAGTTATTGACAGGTGAACACTCACTATTCAAATTTGGCTAATTATCTTCTGTTTTGTGATTTTTTTTTCAATCTCTTCCACTTTTGATGACTTCCTTTGTTATTTGAGTATGTTTTATAGTTATTACTTTCATTCTTATTTCCTTATCTTTTGTACTGTATTAATGGTTGTCTCTACTACTTCATTGATGTATAATTGACAAAATTCTATATATAAAGTATACAATGAGATGACTTGGTACACATATACACTTGGAAAAAAATTAAAATTGCATTAATCACCTCACATAATTACTTATTTTTGTGGGTGGAATGGTTAATATCTACTCTCTAAGCAAATTTCAGCTGTACAACACATTATTACTAACCATAGTCATCAGGCTGTATGTTAGATCTTCAGAATTATTCATCTTATAACTGAAGGCTTACACCTTGGACCACCATCTCCTCATTTCCCCCATCTGCAAGCCACTGGTATTTACTATTCTACTCTCTGTTTTATGAATTTGACTTTTTCTTTTTTTCTTTTATTTTATATATAAGTTAGACTTGAAGTTTAATCATTATTTATCTACATGTTATAAATAGCAAAATTTTACTTTCTCTCATGGTATTCCATTGGAAAAAAATGTATATATTTATCACATCTTCCTTATCCATTCATCCATAAATGAACATTTAGTTTTTTTCTGTATGTTGGTTATTGTGAATAAAGCTGTAATGAACACAAAGGTACAGATATTTCTTCAAGATATTGATTTCATTTTCTTCAGATATATACCCAGCAATGAGATTGCTGTATCATATTGTAGTTCTATTAACTTTCTGAGGAACTTCCACACTGTTTTCCATATGCCTATAACAAATTACATTCCCACTGAAAGTATACAAGTGTTCCCTTTACTCCACATTCTCAACATTTGTTATCTCTTGTCTTTTTAATAAAAGCCATTTTAACAGGTATGAGATAAATAGTTCATTGTGGTTCTGATCTCATATGCCTGCCGATTAGTGATTTTGAGTACCAATTGGCCATTTGCATGTATTCTTCAGAAAAATGTTTATTTAGATGTTTGCTCATTTTTATTTGGCTTGGGTTTTTTTTTTTTTTTGCTCTAGAGTTGTATATATATAATACAACTTATACACACATATATATGTAATACATATTATATATATATAATATGTATGTGTATGTGTGTATGTATATATAGGCATATATATGTATATGTATATAATGTATATATATATATTTCCCTCATCAGATTTATGGCTTACAAATATTTTCTCCCATTCCATAGGTTGTCTTTTTATTCTGTTGTTTTGCTGAGTAGAAGTTTTTCATTTGATACATTTACTTATTTCAGTTTTTACTGCCGTATCCAAAGAATATCATTGCCAGGACCAGTGTCAAGAAGATATTTCCCTATGTATATTCTAGGACTTCCATGGTTTCAAGTCAAATTTGAGTCTTTAATTCATCTAGAGCTAAATTTGTCAGTGGTTTAATATAGGATTTCATTTTTTTCTTTTTTTTTGCTTGTGGATATCCAACTTTTCTCTTTCCTGAAGACACTACTTTCCTCATGTGTATTTTGGCTCCCTTATCAATTCTAATTAAGGATATGCATGTGAGCTTATTTCTGGCTCCTAATTTTTTTCCTGCCAATTGATCTGCCAATATGATATTGTTTTCATTTTAATCACTCTATATTAGTTTGGAATCAGGAAGCACGATGGCACCAGCTTTGCTCTTCTTTCTCAAGACTGATTTGGCTATTTGGGAGTCTTGTGGTTCCATAGTAAATTTTAGGATTGTTCATTCTGCTTCTGCAAAAATTGCCAGCAGGATCTTGACAGGAATTGTATCTGTTGGGCAGTATGCACAGTTTAATGATATTAATTCTTCCAATCCATGAACATGGACTATCTTTCCATTTATTTATATCTTCTTCAATTTATTTTTTTTTATTTTCTTATTGTTTTCAGGATACAAGTCTTTCATCTCTTTGGATAGATTTATTCTGCATCTATCTTATTACTTTTGATGCTATTGTAAATGGTACTGTTTTTTAAATTTCTCTTTTTGATAGTTCATTATTCATTACCCAACAGATTTTTGTGTATTGATTTTGTATCCTGCAACTTTGCTAAATTCATTTATGAATTATAACAGGGTTTTGCTTTCTTTTCTTTTTTTTCACAAGGAGATAATTTTACTTATTTTTTTATTTGGGTAACTTTAATTTCCCTTTGTTCGACAGTGGTGAAAGTGTGTATCCTTGTGGTTTTCCTGATCCTTGAGGAAAAGCTTTCAGCTTTTCACAACTAAATATTATCTTAATTATAGGCTTCTTATTTATGGCCTTTATTATGTTAAGGTACATTTCTTCAATACCAAATTGTTGAGATATCATAAATGGATTGTGATCTGTGTCAAATGTTTTTCCTCTATCTATTGGGATGATTATATGATTTTTAAATTTTGTATTGTTAATTGGGTTTATCATATTACTGATTTGCTTATGTTGAACCAATCTTGAGGCCCATGGATAAACCCAACTCATTATGGTGTATGAATCTTTTAATAAGCTGTTGAATTCACTTTGCAAATACTTTTTGAGCATTTCTGCTATGTTTATCAGCAATACTGGCTTATAATTTCTTTTTCTTGTAGTGTCCTTGTCTAGTTTTGATACTAACATTCATGCTAATCTTGTAAAGTGGTATTAGAAGCCCCCTGCCCTCAAATTCTTGGAATGGTTTGAGTAGAATTGGTATTAATTCTTCTTTAAATGACAGGGAAAAC